AGTCTCCAGAAAATTTATCAGCCTTAAACATGGAGCCATAGCAAACTTCCCAGTCCTCTTAGCATGCCTAGCCTCTGGCTTGATGTTACCGGGCTTTATTAAAGAGCTTAGGACACATGATGAAAAGACATAAAATGGAATTATGCTGCCTGAAGATCAAGAGTAAAGCCTCAAACTCATAAAAGCCTTGTCTTGACTAGGTGTTCTCCACCCTGCTCAAGACATGTTTAAACTTCTAGCTGAAAGATATTTAGGTTAGATTGAAGAAAAACATCCTAGAATGAACTGGCAAAAACATTCTAATTAACTGCCAAAAGAAGTTATGAATGTTCCTTGTCTAGAAGTACCTAGGTGAAATAGCTACTTACAATTTGGCTTGGATACAGTGAAACGTGAACTGACATCTTTTTTCCTTTTCATTTTTTAAACTGTAGTCTATGAAACACTTCGGGGACTATGAGCTGCAAGGATAATCATTCACAGAATTTCTGTCTGTAACGTACCGCCATGGTTTTTATATTCAGCATCTTCTCTTCTGTCCTGCAGTAGAAACAGCATATGTCAAACTCTAATCTGCAAGAGAATCATATAAAGATTCAACCTTGTCTCCAAGACTCTTGCTATGGTTCAGACCTAAACTGTCCCCTCAAAAGGCTCATGCATTAAAGGCTTGATCCTCAGGGCAGCCACATACAGAGATGGGGCCTAGAGAAGAAACTGGGTCACAAAGGCATGAACCTCTTCAAATGATTACTACATTGATGAGTTCATAGCCAAATGGATTGCTAGGAGGAGGGGCACAGTGAAGGAAGCATGTCACTGGGAATGTGCCTAACTAAGAATGTATTTTGTCCCTGTGGATCTCTCCTCCTCCGCCACCCTCCTCCTCTTCCTGCTTCTCCTCCTTCTCCCCCTCCTGCTTTACACCATTTCAGGCTGAAAAGAAACAGTTCTCCACAAGAACATGGAAGTGTGATTCCTAGGAGCAAGGTGGGGAAAGAAAAAGTAAAGGGCATGTGATGGATCAATCAATTGATCGACTGTGTGTGTATGTTTGTATTTTCTGGGAAAAAGAAAGACTATGCGAATATAGAGTCTCTTGATCTATCTTCTACCATAGGTCAATGATCCAGCTGCTAACAAAGTCCATGGAAATAAATTGGAAAAAATAGAGAAGATGTCGGTGCAGTACAGGGAGGTCAGAGGAAGAAGGAAGACCACAGAAACTTAAATATGTTGCTCTTTCATTGGCAGATAGGTTGTATCCTTTACTATAATGTCCACTATTCACGAAAGACCACTAATTGAGCAGCAGTCAGTCCTCTCTTATTTCATTGTAGCTGGACCCACAGCAGCTCAGAAAAAGGCTTGTGCATGCCTGTGCTTGCCTGACCTTCTCACTAGCTGGAGTAGACCTGCCTGTGATCAGCAAGGACCTTGCTGTCCAGAATAATGCAAAAGTGAGGAAAAAAAAGACAAGATATAAGGTACCTGTAATCCTGAAGAGTCACAGAGAGCAAAGCCAATCCAAACTAACAGAAATTCATTCCTCTCCATTTCAGTGATGATGTTGCGGGCCCCTTTATAACCATGATTTAATTTTGAGGGGAGGGGGTTTGAGACAGGGTCTCACTATGTAGTTGAGACTGACTTGGAACTCACTATGTAGCCAAGGCTGGTCTTGAACTCACAGCGATCCTCCTGCCTCAGACTCCCAAGTGCTGGGATTACTGGTGTGCGCCACCACGCCTGGCCACCATCATTTAATTTTTACCTTAATGAGCGTTACAACATTTTGAATTTAAGATCTTAAAATGGAACTAAATTGCCTTTGGGTGATTTGTTTTCTCTCTTTAATATAAACCTTCTAAGATTTCTAGACACAGATGATATTATGGGCTATATGGCTATATTCACAGGTGAGGTCTTTAAAGAGGGCACTATGTGGGCTTTAATTCAATAGGTAGTGTCCTTATGAGATTAGGATGCATACAACTGAAAGAGATTAGGATGCATACAACACAGACTGAGAGACAACCATACAAAAACAGAAAAAAAAAAAAAAAAAAAACAACAACAGCCATGTACAAGCCAAGCAGAGAGGCACCAGAAGATACCAACTCTGACAATATCTTGATCTCAGATTTCCATCCTTCAGAACTGTGAGAACATAATTCTGTTGTTTAAGCCCCTCAGTCTGTGGCACTCTGTTAGGGCAGCCCTAGGATACTAATACAGATCATAAGTGCAAGTGCTGAAATCTGATTCTTTCTTCTGGAACCCAAACGGGATTTTCTAGGTTTTTTTCTCCAATAAAAAATAAAGGAGGGTATTAGGGATGGAAAGAAGGATTATATGATTCTTCTGTAATTGAAATCTTTGGAGAGAGGGCAGGGAAATGGGAAAAAAAAATAAGAACAAAGATACATCATGTAAAGGTACAAGATTCCAATGATGAATGTAACTGTACTGTATACCTAAAATGTACTAATAAACTTAATAAAAAAAATCTTTGGACTTTTTTACAAGGAAAAAAGAGGACTTATTCAAGCTTTGACTGTATCTGAACTTTCATTAACTATTTTAAAATAAATTTGGGTCTACATATCATATCATAATCAAAATTGAATTCCAGATAGATTAAAGACTTCAATGTAAAATGCTAAAAGCGAATCCAATAACATGTAGGAAATCATCTTTGTAGTCTACAAGTCAATAAAGTTTTGCTGAACATGAAGCTAAATCCTCGCATCATAATAACGCAATTGGGTAGTTTAATTTCATCAAAATGGCAAACTGTAGTTCAACTGAATAATGCCCTACAAAAACTTAACTAAAGATAGTCACTATCTAAAGCCAAAGGATATTAATATATGATTATGCCCTTCAAAAGAAACAAAACTTCTGCAAATAAACACAAAAATGATGCTATAACCACTATAAATATAGGTACAGAAGGCTGGGTGTGGTGGTGCACACCTGTAATCCCAGATCAGTGGTTCCACCACCTGCCTCACAAGCCCAAGGTCCTGAGTTTGATCCCCGGTACCAAAAAAAAAAAAAAAAAAAGAACTGAAAGCTTAAATACCAAAGAGATTCTATTTACCCATTAGAATGATAAAAATCAGAACTCTAGATAACATAAAGTATTGGAGAGGAGATGAGAATGAGAGAAACTATCAGACATCATTAGAGGGAATATCGATCAGTCCAGCAGTTCTAGAAAGCAGTCTGTCACTATTGGGGAAATGATGACAATATTCTGTGATCCAGCAGTTGGTGTCTGAGTATATCTACATCTCTGAGTAGTCAACCTCAAGACCTATAAGATAACATGTACCTGAATATTCCTAGTTATAGTATTGTATATTAGGAATAATGCCCATAACTAGGGGAAAATTAGTAAAATGAGATAGAGGTTGCTATGGTTTGAATCAGGTTTAAATGTATAAGTTTCAAGACAGGGGAAACAATATGACTGCAGGAGATTAAAGGTGGTACCTTTGGGAGGTGTTTAGTATTAGGTAAATTCAGGAGGGTGGAGCCCCCATAATTGAATCTTGGTGGCTTTGTAAAGGAGAGAGAACAGAAGAGACACAGACCACACATACTCCCTATCTCTTGTCATGTGATGTTCTGTGCCACCTCAGTTCTCTACCAGAAAAATGGCCATCGCCAAATGTGGCCCCTTAACCCTGCACCTCCAAAACTATATGCTGAAATAAATCTATTTTTTATACTTACCCAGTCTGTGGTGTTATGTAATTAGCAACCGAATACAGATTATAGAGGCACACTGTGAAAATACTATACAACTATCTAAAATACCAAACTGTCCAAACATGACATATTTTCTACAGAATATATAAATTAAACATTGTGGTAGTTGTCTTTTGGAGAACAAATGGAGATTAAGGACAGCAGTAGAACTGAATTGGGTCTTGCATGAACTGATGATGCTTTACTAAAACCGAGGAGTATAGTTATCTCAATTCTTCAGCTGAAATTTAAGCTTTCTCTCCCCCACCCCAAGTTCACCACCTTCCAGGAAGTCATATCTGTAATAAAGATCCTGGAGCAAAATCATCTAATATTTTTAAATATTTTTGGATGTATACCTCAATGGTTTGAAGTCAGGATTATTTTTGAAATTATATTTCATTAGCACCAACTGGTTCAGTGGGCACAGGATCAGAACATAGTACCCCTCCAAAAATGCCTTTAATCTTTTCTTATACCCTTGCTACATGACTCATTTGCCAAGTGACTATACCTGTAATCCTATAAATTGATTGTAGTTTGACCCATGTTGTACCTACCTTGTGATTTTGCCGTATAAATTACCCCTGACAAAGAGCCTGAGTGGCTACCCACTTAGGATTCTTCTTGAAAATCCAAGAGCCATTCTTCTCCGCATTTTCAATAAAACTCTCCTAACTTCCTCTTTTGGTTTGGGACATTACTGGATGTTGTGAGACCATGAACTCAGGCACATATGATATCTAACAGGTTGGGAGTTATTTTTCCCATATCAAAAGGACATGTAATGTCTCTTCAACGTTTCATATGTTGCTAAAGGCGATGGAGATTTTGTTGTTTTGTTCTTTTCTTTCTTTGGAAATGAAACAAAAAGTTCTTAAGGTCTCTGCAAACACATTCTCATTTACAGTTTTAGCGCAGCGGTAATCTAATCCTATTAGGTTCAGACCTTGAAGCAGTCATTTTCTTTTCCACATTTAAAAAATATTCTAATTCTTATGAATCTATACTTCAATTTGCTTTCTGAAAAAATGTTTTTACAGAAAGTTAGAAAATCCAGGTACACTTGCACTTTTTTCTAAGAAACATCCTCACCGTTGCAATCCCGGAACGGATTTAGCAGGTACGGTATTCTTTCAGAAACCACAATGCTGTCTCTTTAACCACTGAAAGGGAGGAGGCAGGACTGCGCCCTGGAGCAGCCTCTGATTGGTCCCGCTGGCAGGAAGTGGGCGGTGAAAGCGCCGCTTCTGTTATTGTACGTCGCGGCCTGACGTGAAGCCTCGGAGAAGGAAGGTTTCAGGCCGCAGCTTCAGCCTTCGCTTTGAATCGCGGGTGTGGGGACAGGGTGTCCAGAACGGGCCCCATTCATTCTAGTGGGTTCCGGGCCCTGGCAGCCTTTTCGCGGAGGTGCCGTGCGCTCGCCACCTGGCCGCAGTGGACCCGAAGTCCGCCCAGCGCCGACCCCGTCCGGTGGCCGGTAGCGGGAGGGAAGGGAGTTGCGGCCGCGAGGTCCCCCGTGCGCTGCCGCCTCCTGAGATCTCTCTTTCCCTTGTCCTGCAGGCTCGCTTCCGGCGTCATGGCTCAAAGGGCCTTCCCGAATCCTTATGCCGATTATAACAAATCCCTGGCCGAAGGCTACTTTGATTCTGCTGGGAGGGTGAGTTTGGGGTCCGTCCGCCTGCATCCCCACCTGCCCTCCACCTGCCCTCCACCCGAGGGCTGCAGGGAGCTCTCTGGCTTGCAAAAAAGGGATCAAAATCCCCCTTTAAGAAGTATGACTTGAGGAAAAGATCTATAGAAAATAAATTTCAAATGTACAGAATAGACTGTTGCGTGTATAAAATGTAATGTTGAATGTGAGATAAAAAATAACTTCAATCACTGGGAATATAAATTATAAAAATTTGGGCTATGCAGTTTACCAGGTCGCTGGCATTTTTTAATCTGTTTTGGTTTGCTTCCTAAGTAGAGGTGAAAATCCTAACGGTGTTCACGTGTGCCGCGTTATTCCTTTAAAACTACACAGGAGTGGGCAGGATAATGATGAGGGGAAACTGGATATGTGGTGAAGATGTCTTTAAACTGATGCTACCACGAGATGTGGGAGATAGGCTTGAAATTCTTCGTCACCACATGCCACCCTTTGCAGGACATTCCCAAAACTGTTAAAATAAAGATTAAAAAAACAGTAGAGCGTTAAACTGGTCAGCAAGTCACAAAGCACTTGCACAAGACCAATCTGGGTGTGTAACACCAGGGCCTGTAGGTTTCTCATACCTCTCTGGGTGAATTGTTAGGAGGGGATACAGCACTTTTAAGAATGCCTGGTTTTGAGAAATCCTGACTGCTCTCGCATATTCTTTCCCAATTTATTTATTTGACACTTAGCAGACACACAAAAAGGATTTCTTATGTGATATAATGGTCTTACAGCTTTCAGCCCTTAAGACATTGTTCTTTATAGATTAACACGGATAGAAGAGATGGGGAAGAGGTACGGGGTCGAAGGCTAACAAAATGTATAAGGATGTAAGGTCAGTCTGAAAGCTCTTTATAAAACTACCTTGAGTTTAGATGCTTCCCTTTGGCGGTTAGGGCCCGCATACTGGCTAGCTCTGCAGATCCTGAGGCTGAAATGTATGTGTTGTTTGGAGAGGACAAGCTGTTTCATGCTAGCATAGCAAAGAAAACACTGGAAGGTGTGTCTTCCTGACTGGAGGCTTCAGTAAAATGGAGAGCTCTATTTAGGCTGCTTATAAGTGAAGCACTTTTTACAAATTTAATTCATTTCCAAGTGAGGAAAATAAATGATATTCATAAATGTAACCTTTGATCCCAAAATAACTGTAATTTACTGTCTCACATATTCTTTGGACAGATCCTACTTAAAAACCAGCATAGGGGTTCTAAGATTATTTTATGTTGAACTCAAAAGATCAGACCCAGAAATCTGCCCTACTTAATTCTTTAAACATTTCAAAAAGGAATTGCTGTGTTTTGTGGCATCTAAGAAGAAAAAAGGGCTTTTAGAGATCCAATCACATTATTGCCAGAGTATGAATAATTAGTTCATTGGCAAAATGCAGTCAGTATTTTCATTCAGGTCACCTTTATTAAATGTGGCCAAGGCAGAAAGTAACTTCCCTTGCTCAGACTGGGACAGTCTCATAATTCTTGGCCTCTAAGTAATGCCAAGCAAGATGGCAAATTCTCCATGATCAGTGGAAGTAGCTTGTCATTTGTATACACTCTTCTTTCTGAGATGTATAGGCCCGTATATTAATATGTAAGTAAATTTTATCTTACTGAACATTTTCACATCTTAGTGAAATCTTCATCTTTTGGCAGAAATTAAATAATAGGAATGTGTTGGTCAAACAGTGGTTTCTTCAGAGTATAAAGTGAGGAATCATAGTGGTGCCTCAGAATAAATAATCCAGACATGGTTGAAAGTTTGATTTGCCTCCTGCTCATGGTGGCGCACACTCATAATCTCAGCACTTGGAAGGCTGAGGCTGGAGAATTGCTGCAAGTTTGAGGCCAGCCTGGGCTACATAGCTCAAGGCGAGCTTGAACTACAAAGGGAGACCCTGTCTCAAAAAAGAAAGTTTGATGTGCCTTATCAGGGTGCTCCTCAGAAGGGAATGTCTTTTTAAATTATTCATTCTAATACTACCTTCTAACTCTGGTGTTAAGATGATAAAAGGTAATAGATTTGTTTTGACAAGTCTTACATGGTGAAATAAAATATACCCTTGAAATGTTCCTCAACACTGTTTTTTTTGTTGTTGTTGTTTTGTTTTGTTTTGTTTCTTGAGACAGGGCCTCACTATGTAGTTGAGACTTACCTGGAACTAACTGTGTAGCCCAGGCTGGTCTCGAATTCACAGCGATCCTCCTGCCTCAGCCTCCCAAGTGCTGGGATTATAGGTGTGCATCACCACACCGGCTCCTCAAAACTGTTTTGAAATTTTACAGTGTGGAAAAATCCAATTTTGGGGTAACGTGAGTTCCTAAAGTGATTGATACATAAAGTGTATTGATTAGTGATTGTGAGGGCTTCACAGTTTCTCCTGTGGGTGTAGCCTTCACATGGATGTTCCTGACCCCAGAGCCCAGCCATGATGTCCTCTCAAGCCATGTGCACATTATTTCCTGCCATAAACCTTTGGGCTGCTAAGAATGGTAAAAACTGGCAACATTTATGTCCCCTAGTGGAAGTGACCTGTTCCACACAACTCCTTTAATCTTCAGAGTACTTGTAGAGTTGGTAGGGCAGGTGTTACCATGCTGAGTCTGTAAAGGTAACTGAGCAGAAAGAGATTACCACTTAGCTGGTACAGGAAGGGCATAGCCAGGCTCATACACTCAGCAGCACCTAGGATTCCTCCTTTTCCCTGGGACTCTGCTGGAAAAGAGTTTTGATGCTACCTTTCCCATTCTTTGTACTATGCTTGAGGTTCCTAAGGTATGTGGATGTGTTTTGCTTGTCTTACGCTACTTCTTCGATATTAAAACACTGCATATGAGCTGGGCACGGTGGTGTGTGCCCATAATCCCAGCCCTCAGGAGGCTGACACAGGAGGATCATCGTGACTTCCAGACCAGCTTGGGCTACATAGAGGGATCAAGGCCAGCCTGCATTATATAGTGAGACCCTTTCTCTAACCAAGAAAAAAAATTTGCAACTTTTAAAAGAAATAAAGCCAAAATGTTACTTTCAGGGGATTGAATCCAGAGACTTCAAAGCAGCATGCATCTTTTGATTTGTGGTTAATTTAATACAATGATTTTTCTGATATTAAATCATATTGGTTTAATAGGTGATCCCTGTTGAAAATTTTTATATGTAAAACATTAAGTTATAATAATACTTGCTTTGAGTAGAAAAACATAGTAATACTTTTTGATTTTGTTAATCTGCTGTTAATTGATAGTTCTCCCAGACAGGAAAGTAAGGTAGGTGAAAACTCTCCTGCTTCTGGTAGCCTATAGTGCAGGAAGTTGAGTGGCCCATATTTCTTGATACTTGTTTTCCCTTAATATCTACAGCTGACTCCTGAGTTCTCACAACGCTTGACCAATAAGATTCGAGAGCTCCTTCAGCAGATGGAGAGAGGCCTGAAGTCAGCAGACCCTCGCGATGGCACCGGTTACACTGGCTGGGCAGGTATGAGGCAAGTTGTGAGCTGGCTGAGCATCTCCTGTGCAGAGCTGCAGAGCTGTCTGCCTGAGCGCCACACCCTGAAATGCTTGCTGCATCTGCATGTGAGTCACTGCCTCCACGGGGTGCTGTGCTTTCCACCACTGACCCCCACCTCCTGGAGTTGGAGAGTCTCCAGTGAGGGCATGGCAAACATACTGCCAGCATTCATGCCCGAAGTTTGTGAGGAGAAAAACTGGTTTTCGGCATTATATGGTTAATTTAGAGATGGAATTTCAGTGGGGAGAATTAGGCAGAGTTCTCAAACAAATTGCCTGAGACAGAGGTGAGGATGATCATCCTCAGGGCATAAAACTCTTCGTTTTTTTGAGCAATTTGTTATGATCTATGCAGATATCTGTGTAGGAGCAGGAGGCAAAGCATCAATTCTGTGAACCAGTCTTTCTGTGTGGTCAGCTCTGACAGGTCTGTCATCTCAGTATTACCAATCTAGGAGCTTGGAAGAACTTGGGGAGAAATAGCACATTTGTGTCCAAACTGTGAGAGAGAAACCAAAGAAGAAAAGTTGAAAAACTACAATTAGTTTAGCTAGTATAGAGAGACAGAAAAAGGAAAGCAGTCTAGAAATTTGTTTCCCGTTTACTTTGACAAATGGAAAAAGAGGCCTGATATTTTATGTACTGGGCCTCACGGTACAGATTTGGATCCTGTGAGTTGTGAACCAGATGCAGGAATTTTATATTGTGTTTTACAGGCATCAGTGGTCTCGATGCAGATAGTAAGACAGCTTCTTCATGAAAGAAATTTCCTATAGCAGTTTCTTAGCAATCCTTTGTAGCAACATATGATTTTGTTTTTCCTAAGGAGGATAGGGAAGAGAGACAAAATTAGTAGAATTGAAATCCTTGGGAGTCTTAGGTCAGTATTTGTCAGAATAGATTAGATAATATTCGGCTGTTATAATGTAATTTTAATATTTTTGTGGTTTTTAGATGCTTAACAAAAATGTTAACATAAGAATAAAATCAAAGTAAACTTCAAGAAGGGAGTTACAAATGTTTTTAGCTGTTGTGTTGCCGGTCTGGTGTAATTGGTACATTGATCTCATTAGAAAACATTACTTTTTTTTTTTTCAAAATCTTTCAAATTCAAACAAAAGTAGACAAGCACAGTTCACGGTTGCTTTTAGCTTTGCTCTTCATTGCCACATTATAGTGATACATTAAGGCCCAGACCAGATTTTGGGAGTTTCTATTATTTTATTGTCTCTAGCCAAAAAAAGGACTGATAAATGGCTAGAATTCCAGGATTGATTACAAAAAAGAGTGACTTAAATTTCTTAAGTCACCAGTTCAGATGAGCTTCTATTATTATAAGGCACCTTGCCATAGGAGAAAAAGAAGTAGGGATTGATTTCAATCCTTAATTAATTGAATTAATTGACAATCTGAGGAAAGCCACCAGCCAGACCTCCCTAATTGCTAAGGCTAGTTGAGAACTAAAAATTAAGCTTTCTTTAGAAAAAGAAATGCAGATTGTTTAAACTTGGTGGCTATGTGAGATTTCTAGCATCATGTTAGATGCCAGTATCTTGTCCCTAAGTATGGCTGACATTCTTTCCTGGCCCCTGAAAGCAGCTTATATGGCAAGTGCCTGAGGCAGACTGGCATACGGAACAGTTAGGATGTCTTCAGTTGCTGGTTGTTTTATGATACAGCATAAAATCTACTAGATAAATTTGCTAATGGCTTTTAAGGTAGGGTTCCTAATGTCTCCTAATTGAACACTGTTAAAAAGCCATTATTCCCACATAAAATAGATTGTTTTCTCCACTGTTTTGATAAGTAAAATTCTTCCTTGTGCCAGTGTTCAATCTGAATAACATAAAGCTCTGAGTTATATAGGAAACTAAATCTGATTTGAGCACAGAAAAATCATATTAAAACTTTCTTCCATTATATTGTAGCTTTATAATTTGTGTCCATTTATAACTGCAACTGTATTACGAAAAAGTTTGCTCACAAAAAACACTATAAAAATATTTGGTGTTTTGTGTCAAAACAATATTTATATAAAGATACGTGTATTTGTATATTGCTTTGTGGATGCCCCGTGTTATCTTTCTAAACATGATAGTTCTTAGGAAACAAGGATAATGGTTTTTTTAACTTTGCTCAGCAATAAATTTATGACCATATTTTAAAAGTATTACCTTTTTGCTTGCTCTTGTTGCTGACTTGTCCAAAATTACATTACTTTAAGAAACATTAATTTATTATAGAAAATCTTGTTAAAACTTTTTTCTTCAGTATTGATATTTAGTATTTGTTATTGGTATACATTGAAAGCTTTTGCAAGTTATCATTCTGTTATTATATCATTTATATGAGAAAATGCATGATTATAATTAGTTAGAACTTTAAATTAGACTCTTTTCCTATCAAATTTCATTCTTCAGTAGAAATATGGTCTGGTAGCTAATGCTGGTCCAGATAAGATTATGACTTGGAATGTAATTAGGTTTAGCTATCTATACCCAGAAAAAGAAAACAAAATTATAGTGGTTTAAATTACGTAATGTATCTCTCATGTGAAAGAAGGCCAGAGGGAGGCAGTCCAGGGCTGATAGAGTAGCCTCAGGTAGTTAGTAGGGACCTTGTCTGCTTTCTTTCTGCTTCTGAATCCCTCTGCTACTAGTTGTACCTCTTGGTCAATATGGCTGCGAAAGATCCAGCCATTGCATCAGCTTTTCAGGCTGCTGGAAGGAAGAAGAAGCAAAGAAGAATGCATTCCCTTGAAAATGGCTTCTTAGAAGTCCTACGTAGTATTTCAGTTCTACCTATTTTGCATTGGCTGGGACATAGTCACATAGTCACTTTTGTCAACAAAGACGGATGATAAATATATTCTGTTACCTGAGATTGTGTTCTCTTATTAAAGAATAGATTTTTAGATAAAACCTAGTAATCCCTGTTTTATCTCCTATGTGGCAGGAATATGATCTTTATTACTTTGTTTTGCACAAACTATTTAGACAGTGAACCTTGGTTTTCCATTTGTAAAAGGATTTCTTAACATTTGTCCACCTGGGGAGGGATTTTTGTAAGAATAAATTTATCAGTAACAAAATATTTTTAAATTTGCTAAGCAATATTTTATCTGCTCTTTTTCTTGAGGGAGAGTCATTCTGTGTCGTTTCATGATACCTTTTTTTTGTTTTGTTTTTGTTTTTGTTTTTTTGGTAGCGGGGATCAAACTTGGAGCCTTGCACTTGCGAGGCGGGCAGCAGAACCACTGAGCTAAATCCCCAGCCCTGATACCTTTATTTTTTATGTCTTTTTCTTCATTTCAGTACTTCATGATCTTCATAAAGCCTACTCTAGAAAGAAGTATTATAGGAATGCCAAATCATATTATTACGAGAACTAGTTGTATCTTAAATCTAGAGAGAACTGCGACTAATTCTAGAATTAACATTGTGAAACATTGCTGTTTTCTCAGCTTGATTAATGTCTCTCTCTCTTCCACTGCTGGTTCCTCTGGAGTTCGTATTTGCTGGTGGGAGTCCTCAGTCCTTAATTTGCTTCTGTCACGCATCTGTGTTAAGCCCCATGATCACACACCTCTGCTTCTGCTTCATATCTCAGGCTGCCCGGTGACTTTTATTCACACTGTGCATAGAGTTGTGTCTGTTCTCATTTGATCTTCAAAATGAGAGTTCTAGTCAGAGGCTAAAGCACCCTGTGTGTTCTGTGGTACGTATGTACTTAAGACCAAAACCTTGGGGTTCAATCATTTTTCCCATTTCCTGTCTTTGCAGCAAAAACTAAGACTAGTGGTAACACTATGCTTACTAAAACTTCTGCTAGCGCACCTCTGCATGTTATATATACTTTGGGAAATGATCATTACAATTAGAACTTTACCATCTTGTTGTGTTTATTGTTTTGTTTGAGATAGGGTCGCACTGCATGGTTCAGGCTCGGCTTGAACTTGCGATCCTCTTACGTCAGCCTCTGAAGTGCTGGGGTTACAGGCATATACCACCACATCCAGCTGGAACTTTACCATCCAATTCATTATGTTTCATTCCCCAGTAGAGTATGGTCTGATAGTTAATGCTCAATCAAATAAGATTAAGACTTGGAATCTAGGATCTTTCAAGCATTCCATCCATACAAAATGCTTTGTTGGTCAAGGTGATATGTACAAGTTTAAACAAATTTAAAAGAAAGCAAATAATTGCTTTAGAAAATATTTTATTTTCACTTTATAAATTACTGTGAAACTGAAATTACCTTGGCTTTTTTGCGGGGGGTACCAGGGATCAAACTCAGGACCTTGTGCTTTCAAAGCAGGTGGTGGAACCACTGAGCTAAATCCCCGGCCTCAACCTTGGCTTTTATTTTAAAATAGCAGCAGAGAACATAATACAGTGATGAAAGAGGTTTATGTGGAATTTTATTAGAATTCAAACACCTTTCCACTAAAGCCTACATATTGATACCTGTTGGTGTTGTACCATAAGCTCGATCCATGAATCTTACCTTTTCCAATTCACAAGAGAGAAATGCTGTGTGATCCTAGGAAAGGTAAGAGGAAATCTTTTTATAACCTAAAACTGTCTCTTACTGACAAATGAGGCAATACTTGCCATAAATCCCTCTGGTCTCTCTTATACTTATCTAGGAAAAGGGTGTTGTGATTAATCAGTTCTTCAGACAGTAATTGAGAGTTAACATTACTACTATACATTACTGTTCAGAAAAAAGATCCAGTAATTTAATAATAAAATATATTGAATGAATTTTGATTTTCAAGAGAATGAGGATCAACAGTATGCATTTTCATGATCAGTTGGTTATTGAAAAACAGGAGAAAGATCCAAATGCAATTCCTGTTAATAGTTATGCTACTTAAATGACAGTGTGTGCAGATAAACAAAAACTAATTTTATATGCAGGTCTCATCTTAAGTGCTTTGCATTGGTTCACTGTTCTAACCCT